AATTTAGTTGAAATATGGTATACCAATTTTTTTGTGATTAGAATACTTCCTTTATTTCGTACAAGGAAGTAAAAAAAAAAAAAAAAAAAAAAAAAAACCCTTAAATACCGATGCACAAACAAATGGTTTGACTCTGGTTAGAAATATTGCAACCTGTTACATAAGAATAAGTACCTCAGGGTCATTTTCCCTCTCCGCTTATTTACCTTGTAACCATCGAATAGTTGGGGCCAATAGTCGAATTCCCTAACTGCGCCCTCCACTTAAATTATTTCGGTTAACGTGTTTCACTTCGTGAAAAACATGCGTACGAACGCAACTTGAACTACTGTCTCAGATGAGGCGAGAAATTTACATGCTGTATGGTGATGACGATATATACTAGGATCCTAAATAAAGATAAATAAAAAGACAATGAAGTGCCTATGTTAAAGCAACAAAATATAGTATTCAGTAGTCCTTAACTTCAGGGTGGCAGCTTTTCAATTTAGTGATAATATACATTTCAAATTATCTGTGTTAACAGTATTTCAGACTAAACAACGTAAGACCAATTGTAAGAATACATAGGTAAAAAAAATGAAATACAGTTCTGAATATATTTTTTTTCATTTTTTTTTATCCGAATGACTAAGTGTCTTCAACTGAACGCATTCATCAGGAATGGCCAAAATCTTTAGTGCCATAGCTCTGCATCACCGAAAGAGATGCCCATTCTTGGGTTTAAATTTTAGGGCTTAAAGTGTAATACCAGTTTATAAGAACTCGTGCTTATGCTTTGAAGGAATGCATTTACAACATGAAATTTGGGGGATAACATTGATATTTTCAGCAAATCTTAAATGTGTCGTGGGTTTCTTAAAAGTATTAAAACATGCCTGTCAAACCTCCAACATGTCGAAAAATAATAATTAAAAAAAATCTGAAAGGTTTCAGGTTTTAACGGCCTCCCAAAACGTTTTGTTAAGGATTTTACGCTCTCGTTGAACTTGCAGTCTAATGATAGGACTATCCGCAAGCCAGTAAATAATATGCAATAAAGCATAATGTTACCGCATACAATACAACATTTATTTTACTAAACAAATACAGCTAGATCAAGGACTGCTCTAAACAAGCGCAAACTTCTAGACATAGTGCAGAAACTGGATACTTTTTTCTTCTTCTTTATTAAAGATTCAGCCTGCTTCCTAGCAGAGGTAAAATTTTTATTATTCGAAATAAATTCCGTTTATTACACACGCAGGAAAATTTCGAAGCAGTTTTCGTTACGTGTTTCAGTTAAAATGTAATTTGAACCAGTCTCTGTAATGTTTTGATGTGATTCTTGCGAAATCTCGGAACTGTAATATTTATATAATCAAGTGAATATCAGAATTCTTATTTAAAATGTGCATAAAAACTAAATTTTCCAAGACTATTCTTGTCGCCCACATGCTTTTCAAAGCTTTCTTACTATGCTCCTGAGACCAGTAGAACTCATCTAGATTCCTCAATTCCCACCAGATAGCGACAATGTCCATATTGTGATACTACGTTAGAAAGTCATAGAAGGGCTAAAGGAGCGCTCTCTAAGGTAAACAGATGTGTTGAGACGACGTAATGTGAATCGAAACTCCATTTACAAATTTTGAAGTCCTTACGGTGGGTGGGTTAATAGTTAGTGTTTAATTAAATAATAGTCTGCTTGCTGCTTATCGCTGAGTTGAAGCGTATCTACATTAATTTTTAAGCAGCTTACGAGATGTAATGAAGTTAATTCTAAAACTTTGTCAAAGTAAGGGGTAGAATTACTTTATGCTAACCGTAACACTCACGAATGATGTATGCTAGAATCACACTGCAAATGATATTTGAGATAATGAATATACCAATAAATTACGCAGATTACTGTACTTCCAATATAGTTTACACAAATTGCTTTCCAAAGCTAAATGCTTTGCGTGATTCAATGATGCTTCTTCCGTTAAATTCGTTTGGTCGCTCGGAGAGCTCTAGGGCGAAGGAACTCTCCGTTTAATTTAACTTTACAACCCGAGATTGAGCGATTACAGTACATAACTCACTGTGCAGTGGTACAGAAGTATTATACTCAGGGGGCTGTTAAAACAGAGCACTTTGAGCAAAGAGGAGTTCTTAAGAGCGTCTTACTGTTTCAGAAACACATAAACTAGCATTTATTTCAATAATAAAATTGTAATTTATTTTCCTGGAAATTAGGAAAAGATCTTTCAAAATGATAAAACGTTAAAGTATAGAAACGGTAATAAACATAATGATTTATTTCCTTTTGAGATGCAAGAAAAAAAGAATCTAAATTACCTTTGCGTATAAAATGTAACCCATTTTTATATTTCTACACATCAGTTTATAATTTAGTTATAGCTACATAAATAAATTTTAAAATAGATAATACGAAACTTTTGCTGCTTGTGATCTGTCGAAACTGTTCAAATTCACTAATCCATTTGTGACGTAACATTACTCGCACTGTTTACATCAATACTGGATAAATAATCTTCACCACGAAAGATCTTATATAATTTGTGTAGTTCATCTGTCAGAATGAATTTATAAGTCAACAAAAATTAATTGTGATGAAATTATATTGTCTCGGTCGGTTACGGTCTTATCAGTGGCCAAAACGGTTAAATCCACGATATATTATTTTGTACCTGAATTCTTTCTTTGTTGTCCGAAACAAATAGGCCGCGTAAGATTTATCAAGTTTCTCTCAAGCCTAAGGGAAATGCAATCTCGTTTCCTTCAGAAAATCCTCCACAAAATCATTCCTTCCTTCGACAGATACAGCTTTCCCTTTCTTTGCTATAATAAACTAATCTTATCGCACTAGATATTTTCATTCTATTTAATATTAATTCTTTAAATTAATATTTTTCTTCTTGATTCCTATAACATACAGGATGAGTCAAAAAAATGTATACTGACTTTGAACTCTCATAGAAAATTTATTTTCCAGCCTACAAGGTTAAATTTCTTGGAATGGTAAGGTTATACACCAATTTAAAAAATAAGTGTACTTTATGATCAAACTTGAATGCTATAAATGGTGTTTAAAGTAATTGTTCAAACAGTAATCTTCAGTATCGATACATTTCTGAGTACGAGTCAGAAATCATACCGTACTTTGCACCAAAATGTCTAATAGGATTTCTGTGCAGATCACTTAAATCTCATCTCAGAGTGTGTCAAAGCTACTTCGCTTCATCCGGCGAAACAATGTTACCAAAATTGGACCTCGAACGCCATTCGATTTTTTTTCTCTTTTTTATATGTATAGTAAAAGATAAGGCGTAGTGTCGTAAGACACATTCGCGAAGAAAAATTCTGAATATATAGGTGATAAATTTTATATCCAAGATTTCTTTATTATAAATTTTAATCTCTTATGTTCTTTTGCTGTCCTATTGTAATTAGAAACATTTCTTGAAAAAATAAATGCTCAAGATTAATAGAAAGGTATTAAGCGCACTCCTTAAAATACAAAATAAATAATATACTTAATTCCTTTAGTCTAATTTTTGCTAATTTATATATCAGAATATTTTCTAGTGAAAGAGAATATTTGATTTGATAAATAAAACGAAATGCTTTTTTTTAATAGCTAACAATGTGAAACTGTTAGAATCCGATTAAAAAGATATGGATGTTGACACCACATGACCTCCTAGTATGGCCTATTAAATTATACACATTTTTGCTGCATTTCATTTAAACTTATTTCCTCGAATTTCATTAGAAGAAAATTTCTCATTCAATTAATTCAGTTCTCAGGTGGTGGCAAAGCAAAAATACATAAAAACACAAAACATCTGCATTAAAAATTCTTCAATGCAGAAAAACATAAAACACTAAATATAGTTTAAAAAAAAGTAATTTTTAGAATTAAAATTAGAGTTTCTTCCCCAAAACAAGCGAGCTAGGCCAAAGCGTGGGAAGCAAGTGCGTTATGTTCAGGATGAGATCTCAAGTCAGACTGAGTTAGTTTCGGTTCTCAAAGCATTCAGATTGGATGGTTAATATTGCCGTAAAATTATTATTGGCTGTTAAGAGTTTTAGTTCCGTTTACATCATCAGAATTATGTAAGAGTCATATGGCATAGATTTTTCTCGAAATGACGCAATGCAGAGACGGATACTATTTTTAGAATAGAGAAGGGAAATTAATTTATGCTTCTAATTTAATCTTTAACATATTCTTCATTTTTCTTACATATAACGACAGGATCAGCCGATTTCAACGAAAAAGGGAGATGCTTAACTACGTGTTACACCCCATATATATAACAGCCCATATACAAAATTTCATCATTCTAAGGCTACTCATTCTTGAGTTATGCAAGATACATACATACGAACATACGTACGTACGTACGTACATATGTCAAGAAAAATCTCTTCTGAATTCCTCTTAAATTCTGTTTATAATCATTTTGGTTTTGTCCCAGTAATCCTGGAACACCCTGTATATAAGTGTGGTACTGCGATTCCAGTGAAAACGAGAATTGCACAACTAGATATTTTTGCAGTACCATATACAAAATTTCAACGTTCTAAGATTAATCAGTTTTGTTTTATGCAAGATACGCAAGATACGTACATACATGAACACATGTACGTACGTACAGATGTGACAAAATAAATCCCTTATGAATTCATTTTACAATCTGTTTTGGAAAAAAAAAAAAAAAAAAGAGTCTTTTATTCTGTCCGCATGTACAGATGTCACGCAAAAACATCGTTCAAATGGTTTCGAGAGCGGTTGAAATATAATACCTGAAATTTTGCGTAATTACAATACTTCCTTTACTTCGTGCAAGGAAGTCAAAAAGCATTTTAAATGTGCTCGAAATGGCAATCTTACACAAAACATTATTAAGCTGAGAAGCACATAATGGTGCTCTTAAAAGCTAAAGACAGTTGTAAAATACATGGATATTAAAATCTGCATTCTATTTAAGTCTGTTTTCCCAAGTTACCTGAAAAGCCTCCCTTTCATCAGTTCCAGTGCTTCCAATAATGATCGTAGCTGGTTTTCCACCGAAAGGTCTTATCTTGCCAGGTAAAGGTAACTTGCCATTGAATTCACAGTTCAAGTAGAAAGATACAGTGTCCCTTCGAACGCTGAAAGCCATTTGATGCCAATGGTTATCGAACAAAGACTTTACGAAACTCACTCTGATGTCGTCTTTGTCTGACAGAAGCAAAGTGAGCGTATCGCTGATGTAAAGTCCCACCTGTGGAGAGAAATACAGTTGTATATAATCCTTGCTATTAAACAAAGCACAAGTTCATTCCTTTAAAAAATGTCTAAAAACTAAGAATTTAGAGTTTGTATTTGGCATTTTTAAAAGAGTAACACATTCAAAATTAACAAAAGGAAATAATAAAGAAGTACGACTCTTCAAATATTCTAGGCGATAAAATGAGCATTCCTAATAGTAATCGATACTATTAGGATATAATTCCTATATAGTATATAATTCCTAATAGTAATTCCTATAATTTAAATCGATTTAAAATACAATTTTAAATATATTTATGTATTTAAAATAAACATTAAATATTGTTATCATCATGTATATTATATACCGCATATGTCGGCGTATAAGGCGCACGTTTTTCCCTTGAAAATAGGTCTGAAAAACGGGGTGCGTCTTAAACGTCGATACTCAGTTTTTGATTACATTCATTTCTGGAAATTTCCTCTATTCGGAGTTACGCGATTTTTTCTTGTTTTCATGCTAAGTGTAAGAATATTACAGTTACGTAGACTCCAGTGAATGCGCATGCGCAGTCATAGACTATTATAGTTGGGTTCGTTTAAACTTTCCAGTTTTTGTGAACGACTTTTAAGTGTGTGAAATTTCAAGTGCTCTTCATCTAGCTCTGGAGAAGAGTGTCTGAGTTTTGACGAAGAAGATTAAAGTTCTCTCTCAGAGAGATTGGGTAGTTGCAGAAACTATTATTTTGTATTTGTATTACTTTATATTTAAATACTTTACATTAAACAGTGAAAGTGCCCTTTGGCTTCAAGCATTTTGGAAGCTGTGTCTTTCATGTGAAGTCGCCCGAGACTTAGTGTCAAACTTAAAAATTCAGTTGAAGAGTTTCACTTGATCTGGTGATGGTAATTAGTCCAATAATCCTAATAGGCGTGAAGCGAATCATCGCTAAGTCTGAGCGACAACAAAGTCGTGACAAGGTTAAAAATAGCCTTTTGGTTTAAAAGGAATTTCACACATAAACACACTCTATTGTGCTATAATGTCCACAACTCGTGGTGATGCAAAATAAAACAGAACAGACAAATTTAAGTTAAACGCGAAACAGTAGTCGAAGACAAAAAAATTTATCTATACTAGAAGTTATGTCACTAGTATACCTGAGCGTCAGAATTAAAAACGTCGGCGCTGATTAAACGCAAAGTCAAATAACTGCAACTATCAAAGCTGGCAATAAACTAACTCGTAGTGGTCACGGAAAGCAAAAAACATGCTCTGCCTTTATAAAAAAAACAAATTCAAAATAATACTGGCTATTATTTGTATTTGTGTGAGTAATATGGAAAGGAGAATATATAGTACAGGCTGAAATTATATAAATAACTGGTTAATTAACATAAAATTCCCTATACACTGAACGAAAATCGAAAGTTCTTTTTAAATTTGATGGATAGTTAAATAAAACTTCTCATCATTTACACATTTGTTTACGTGTAGGTCACCTCAAAATTTTAAAAATGGGATGAAATAAGTTTCTATTAAATGCATTAAGCTTCGTGTAGAGAGTGCTTTTAATAGCAACGGGATAATACAGGATAAATAAGCATCTTAAATGATAAAATATTGTGATACCTAAAGCCATTTTTTATAACGAATTTGAAGAAAATTTTTATTTGCAAAAGCACTGTGACCTAGTGTCAAGTTCGGTGGTGAAAAAAATCGAAATAATAGAAAATTACTTTATGGCATTGGTATATAATTATAATGTAACAAATGTCAAGATATTTTATAACTTAAGGACATTAAAAAGACCCATAAACCTTTTGGTACCAGCAAAACGACAGTTTGTAAAAGCGTATAGTTCACAAATTACGGATTGGGGAAAATGATAGCTTACCGTTTTACATTTTTGGAGGAAAAAACTGATAACTGTTTACATCTTCTAAAATGCATCTGATTTACGAAAATCAAACAGTACTACAGCCACTTTATGAAATCAAATTGTATTACAGGCATTATAAGATATTTACAGCCACTTTAAGATGTTTACGTAAGCATTTTGAAGCTTTCACTGCAATTTTAAGTAAGAATCGCATGCAATAAAATACTTAATCCCCAAATATATAATTGGATATACAGACGTAATTTTGGTAACTTCTGGGATTGAAACTAAATTAAGTATTTAACGTAACTTCTAACCAGTTTGATTCAAGTACCAGCGAGCAAGCTACCTGCATGGGCGTTTTCGTGGTTTCGTATTCACCAAGTTACCTTAACATGCCGAGGAGGTTTTGCTTTTAACGGTTATTTAATTATCAACACAAATCCAAGTCCATTTGAAATTTAAAAAAAAAAAAAAAAAAAAAAAAAAAAAAAATTGTTCATTCACTCCTCGTAAATTACAACTAAAATGATAACACGAAAATTAATGTATCGTAACGCAATATTAAAAATCCGTGAACTCGCCCTGCCAGTAAGATTCAATTACTTACAAGCAAGGTTGTAGATTCATAACTAAATTGCCAGTCGGCTATCGCTACCGCAAAATTTCGTAAAATGTTTGCATGACTCAGCGATTAACTAACTTTAGCCGTTCGTAAACACAGCAGAAAATAGTATTCCATCAGACACAGGGAAAAGACATAGCGAAAACTCCAGCATTTTTTACTGGAGATTAAATTGATTTAAGATTAGCCTTCTCTTTTAAACTATGCCACATGCCATTAAGTTTGCATCACTTGTTGGTCTAAGCAAATTTTGAGACAAGAGCCAAAAAGTATAGGATGGAAATTAACTCAAATCTAACAGTAAAACTTCCCGCCCTGATCGCTACAATGATTAGCGATGCTGGCCATCGTATCGTTGCGCCAGGTTTCGAATTCGGAAAAAGGCATGGATGTTTGTATATTGTCTGCGACACAAGGGCACTTAAAATATTGCCTAGCGGAAAGTCTACCCTAGTGGTTTGGTGGTACAAAAAGAAGGGTGGCAGTTTCTGGGATCCGGCAGTATATGGCATCGACCAAGATGATAAATACGTCAAGATAGTAGTCAAGTTTTAGGGTTGTTGGAAATCTTTAACAAAATTGACATGGAGCTGTTATAGTTAGTGCGCTGAGACTATATTTGCAAAATCAATGATAGAATTAGGGTGTTCTGCTCACTTTTTCCTCGCCTTATGTTTTTACTAAAACTTAAGAATAATAGACACAATTGCAAGAACTCAGGCAATTACGTATTCCTACCTAATTTCGTTAGTTCCCAGTGTGTAATAAGGCATACCTTAAAATGGTTTTGGCAAAAAGTTTAAATGGTACTGTTCGGTTTCGAGGGCCGTAAAAAGTCGTCAAACTATTGTTGATGCCGATGCTGCCAAAAATAATTGCGGCAACCCTAATAATTGCGGCAAGAAAGGAAATATAATAGTAAATAACTATCTAAGATTGATGTTTTAATTTAGATGCAAGGTTAATTTCATATAATACTTTTTATTATTATAATTTATATGAAAAAGGCTAAACATGACTGAATGGAAGCATGAGAGAAATAACTATTTCAGATTTTAATAATTTATATAAAAAATTGCTTAACATAACTGAATGGATGCCTGCATCGCTATTTCGCTACGACTTATCGCTAAAACATAATTTCATCTCATTGGTTGTTCAAACGTAATTTTCTATAATGAATGATGCCTTTTCTTTGAAAATATTCTCGGTAAAGTGCAGAATCGCTCACTTATTTGTTTGCCGCTTTTTACAAGGGTAAAAATAATTGGATTTTTGCCAATTTTCTTTTACTTTTTAAGTGAAAATAGGTCGATGTGTACATAGATAAAGTCAAGGGTGTGCGCAGTGCAATTTTTGTGCAATTCTAGGATCTTTTTTTTTTTTTTTTTTTAAGTGAAAAGAGGTCGATGTGCACATGGATACCGAGTATGTGCAATTTTTAAAAACGCGTCAAGCAGTGGGTGATTCTGCACTTTACCCAAAATTCTATTGCCGACTTTTCGTCATGGGCAATTCCCAAATTGTTAAATCCATAGGATATCAAAAGAGGATTTAAAATCAAAAAAGGACTTAAAAATTAAACTAGTATTTCAATGGCGTCTTAAAAAATATAGAACTATATCAACTTACGCAATCTGAAATCAGCGCGTACGCTAGATTCGGCGCGCTGTTAAATGGGCGCGTTTGCTAGATTTGGCGCTTTTACGCATACATTTTCGCTGCAATTTTTTTACGGCCCTCAAAACAGAACAGCATCGTTTAAAGAAATAGACACATTGCAGTAATGATGTATTAATTAATTACTTAAGATTAACTAAATATCAGTTGATTGCATTTGAAAATTCTATGATCATATGGTATTTTTAAGCGCATATTTGTTTTAAATTAATTTTGCTTATGACTAGTTAAGACAAATTTTATGCTGTTATTATGTCACTATGTTTGCTTATATTATCGACTAATTTGTTAAATAGCTAGCTCTGGTATATTATTTCCTAAAACTATTTAAAATTGTAAAACAATAACAGTAATGTTTCTTTCCGAAAAATTCCTCGTCTGATATTATACCAAGGATAATATTTGAAGTACAGTACTATAGTTCCATATAATACTTCTAAATGGGAGATAAGATATTACTTTTAGTAAACTAGTCCTAGTAACTTTAAACTCGTTTCATATAAGCCTAAGGGAGGAGAATTTAAAACTCAGCGTATATCTTTAAGCATTATCCGTAAGAGAAACTGAGTTTAAAAAAATCCTTCACAAAGTTGTTTATCTTTTTTTAGTAATAGAAGAATATTATTCTTACCGATATAAAAAATGGATAGCTGGTAAAGAAAACTTCAACAAAAATCCTTCAGCCGCGAATAAAAGCTGGCATTATACACTAAGCATCACTAGGGAGACTCTGAATAAACTTCTGAACTTCTTCAATACATTTTTACGAGAAGTAATAACTTAACACCTTGAGTAAGAAGCTTTTACATCACAGCCTTTAAAAGT